TGTGTGTGTGTGTGTGTGTGTCTCTCTTCTTATTTTCTTTCAGAGATTTCTTTGAATGAAGCATTGACTTGGGGTCTTGGTCGCACATGAATCTTAGAGAAGAGCAATTTTTTTTTTTTTAACGACGTCCATATTCACCCATGACCTAATAATAATTGGTCAAGCTTCAAATGCAGTTGAACTTCGCTGAAGGACTCCCAAAAAATCATGTACTGTATAAGAGTCTTCGAGTCAGGAAATATGGTTTAATTTGGGGTTGTTTAATGCACGAAAACTGTTTTTCGATCTAATTATTGAAACTATTCATTATTCAGATATGTCCTATCTGCAGGAATACGTCTAATCCTTTGAGGAAAGCGTCAAGGAAATAATGATTCATGTTTTACTTTCCTGGAATTCATTGATTTATTGTGAGATTCGGCATTTTGTACTCTGAACTTTTTCGTACAAATTTACCTATATATTTCTTTGTGTATCTGAGAAAGCTACTGTACTCAAAATCAGAACGCGGCTTGTATAATTCCTTTAATATGGTCTCGAAATTAGAAAACTTTCTGGAAAACCCTTGGAATGTATTCTGAAAAAAATAAACCTTCGACTCTTAGGTCATAATTGTGGTTGAAGTAACCTGAAAGTAAGTACGGCCCTGGTCCAGCGTCGTTATTGTAGCAATTAAATTCGCAAATTCTCGCAAGTGCTTCTGGAATCTCGTTTCCTCTCGCTAGGAATTCCAACCAGGAATTTTTAAAATTTCCTCGTGATAATTGATGTGTTTTTCTTTCCTACTGTCAGGCACCAGCAAAGAATATAAAATGATGAGAGGAAATCACTGGGTTTCACCTGTTGGGAAATGTTAACATTTCTGTCAGAAATTTTTTTTAAACGTGTACATGCAGTATAATAATTTTTCCATTTCACAAATTCATCGAAAGGGATTGCTTCATAATTTTTGGAAAGTCTGATGATTTTTTGGGCGGGTTCTTCGATATCGCAGTTTGCAGTTGAAGCAAATTGTTTAGCCAATAGAGTAACTTTTTATAGTACAGTAATTGAAAATAAACGTCGAATAGACGGTTACTAATAAAAAGCTGTCGTTCATATCCTGGGCTAATTTTCCTGTTTTAAACCAATAAATTGATTCGCACTCAAAATTAAAATCTTCTGCCAGCCCCGGTGATGCATATAGTTCAACACAAGACCAAGCCTCTTAAGATACATTTTTCTCTTACTCATTGCAATAAGCTAAGATGTTGTTTTTTCCTGAGTTAAATCACATCAACTCTTTTCATATTCCGTATCAGATGGATTAATCAGACTCGGGGGCAACAAAAAATTATGATTGATCAAAACACAGCCATCCGACGGCAGGGTCCAATAATAATAATAATAATAATAATTGAAAGAGAAAAAAAAATCTGAGCTAATTTTAGAATCACTCTGGAGTCCTATAATCGTCATTTGTGGGCATTATGCAAAAAAAAAGTAGAGCAATAAAAATCGCAACAATCAGAACCCGATGGTTGCTGGCATTTTATTATTAACTCCAGCCACGATGTGATTTCGTCCACCCAGAAAAAAAACAAAAACAAAAAACAAAACAAGAGGGACAATGAATTGCGGAGCAGCGATGAGACAAGGAAATAGTTGATCCCTCGTTCTGCGAAAGTTGGCAGAAATCTGAATGAGATCTGCGGGGGGTATCTTTGTGTCTGGAGCTATTCGGACATAATTGGGATCGTGATGCTTCCTTATCTCCGGAAGGCATGAGCTCGTTTTCCGTCGTAACTCTGCTCTCTCTCTCTCTCTCTCAATACCATAAACTACTGCTACAACCATTGCTAGTTTTGCTGTTTTGTTTTTTCCTGTTGTTGATATTCTGCTGGAAATCGGCGTCTCTTGTTTCCTGTATATTGTCAAGATACAAGAGCAAGATGGGGGGCGATGCTGATGCAGAATCATGGACTGGTATGTTCCGTTTTGTTGTGTGCGAGATGTAACGGGGCTTTCCGGAAGTTCTGAATACATTGTGGTGTTTTATTTTCTGACTGCCGAAAAAAAATAAACAGAAAAACTCGTAAAACCCTTACTTGCAAGAAATTTCTTGAATTTTTCATCATCACGATCCTTCAGAAAAAAAATAAAATGCAGTCTGCTGATGTTGGTTTCAGTATAGTTGTTTCAGTTTTCATATAAAACATAACTTTATGATGGGTATGAACCATTCCATTCTACTAAAAGGAATGCAGTTGGACCTTCAGAAATTAACCACTTCGTTCCTCAAGGCATTTGATACTCAAGTCATGCTTTTGCAAAAATTAATATCGGAGAAATCAATTTTTCCAGCAAGAAATTAAACTGAGGTGACGTGAAAGAAACTACGGTAATAGAAAAATTAGAGAGAAAAAAAGAAAACTGACCCACTGATGCTTCTACAGTATATGTTTACTAAAATTAACTCAACATTTGAATTCACATTTTTATTTCCTTCTGCATTCCTATTAGATTATTGAAAGATGCACAGTTATTAAAACAATTTACATTTTCATGTTTTTCGTGCTAAATCAGTTTTATTTTGTCATTTTCTCTCTTTCCTTTCTTGGCTTCAGGTTTGTTTAATGTATTGTTCCCTATCAAGCAAAATTACGGGGCTAGATTAAAATAATTTTATAGTTACCTTCAGAAAAATCCTAATTAATAACGGTGCCTGAGAGTTTTTTTTGTAACAGGATTTCACCCTTGACGCGAAATTATTCTGAAGCCTCGAAGCAATTTTGACCGATATTTGATGCTACGAATACTTCTTCCGCCCGTCGATTTCTATGAAGAGACAGAAACAAACCACGCCTTGTTTTAATTGCGAGCAAAACTGCGAGATGGGCGAGAAATAAAAATTATTTCGGAATCCCAGGGCTCCCTTTGACGCCGAAAATGTTGAGCCGAGCGATTTTTATTGAACCTACACCAATGGCACTAATGGGAGGGCTTGTCCAGAAGAAGCACCATCATGATGGAGTGCCTCAACTCACAGAGCCTTCCGGCATTTTATGGCAGCAGCGTTGAGAGCTCTGCTGTTTCTATATATGAGGCCAAATGACCCCCGACTTGTATATACAGTATTAACTGCCAGAGAATTTTTCTTCCTGCTACTTCAAACAGAGCCTTCCGGCATTTTATGGCAGCAGCGTTGAGAGCTCTGCTGTTTCTATATATGAGGCCAAATGACCCCCGACTTGTATATACAGTATTAACTGCCAGAGAATTTTTCTTCCTGCTACTTCATAATTCATGGTCGCCGACGATGCGATCGGAAGTTAAGAATGAAAGGAGAAGAGCCATTATTATTTATATGGATAGTTTATATATGGGCTGGAAAGAAAATTGGGTTTTATCCGCTGTATCGGGGCCACATTCAGATTCTCGCCCCCGTGAGGCTTTTATGGTGATGGGTTTCGAGCAATTTTTTTTTATTCCCACCCGATCATATATGGGATCCTGGGGATTATTTGGATCTGCTCTCCGTCTCCACACCAATCTTTTAGGAACCGTTTTAGAATATAAAATTATTATGAAGTGATTTCAACTGCACGCAGAAGAAGTGTAGTATAGCTGCATGCATGTAAATGTACAGAATATTTTCAAAACCAGCGAATGCTTTCATATAGTGTCAATATTGTACGACTTTTACAGTGAACACTTATAAATATCATATCGTTCTTAAGAGTGTCCCTATTTTAGCAGATCAGAAGTTTATAAAACAATGTTGAATTATAATTTTTGGCTATAACTTTATTTGATTTTTTGCATGCATTATATGGGTTTCCATTCCCAAATAACATTTCAAACTATCCAAGTGGTGCTGTCCGGGATCCGATCGCTCGATGACAAAAAAAATCTTCGAAGATTAGTTTTTCCAAGAAGTATAAGGCATGATATTGAAGATCCGGATTTAAATGCTGACTAAAACAAGCAGCAGCACAAAAGGGGAAAATACCTGAATTCAAACTAAATGGAAAGGTGTGAACCCTGATAAATTATTTTACTGCACTGCAATATTCTTCCCTCAACTTTTCTTGTTTGCTTGAACATTATGAACGCATAACATTTCTTATTTCCACGATAAATTGTTGGTTTCCTTGGGTATCACCATCATTCAAACACATACGACATCTATGAGCAGCGCAGTGAGTCAACATGAGTTGCCGTTTTTAGTAAGCTGCTTGTAGGTGTCGTCTCTGCATCCAAGCAAGAAAGAAGTTGTCAGTTTTTTCTTCTGAAAAAATTGACTCATTTTGCATTAAAAATGGACAAATATTGGATCAGACACCGCCCACAGACAACTTCATAACTCTCAAACAAATGATGGACAATACTAGAACAAATTGTGAACAACTTAGCTGGGCAACTGGTTTAAAAAATTTCAACGTGTGTTGAAAAATTGCCAAACTTACCGCAAAATTTAAATTTTAGGCGAGCTTTGGAGCATTTAAACAACTTTCTTACAAATTTTATAGAAATTTTCTACCATATGTAGCATTGGTGCAGATGGGTGAGAATGCTGAGGTTTTCACAGAACCTGGATTAGCTATAACTGGGTCTAGGCTGCCACAAAATTAAAGCTGAAGATGATGATGGTGTCTTTCTGGTCGTATGACTTATCTGTAACAACAGGAACAATTCAGGATCAACTCCATTTTCAATGAATCGAAGAATCCCAGAGATTTTCTACAATTCGTAACCTGTAACCTGTGACATGTTGCTACAACACAGCTCTTTGCTAAACATCAAGGACACACAATCATGGAAGCCTTGTGGTTTCCCTGGAGCGTGTGATGCCGATCATGCGAGCAATTCGTGTCGCTCGCGGGTGGTGGTGATGTGTGAATCTAAGTTTTCGGGCTACTTATTCAGGAAGAGATTAATTGAGTGACAATCCTCTACACCTCTTCCTGCACTATGTAATTTTATTGTTGCATCAGTTTTTCTAAATTGAAAATCCCATGTTCACGTGACTCTGCAGGGTTATTTCGTAATGCTTTAAGACAGCTAACTGATTTAACGTGAGGTTTTGGTGATCTCGGGATGGCGAACTCGCCTTCCTCTGTGAATGGCCATGAGTCCGCCTTGAATACAGCTCTCCTAAAGGCGATTTCAGATTGTGGGGGTACGTGATTATTAATCGTTCTCGCATCTCAAACACCACGTTACTAAGCTTTTTTTGCGTGTTCGCAGACTGCATTCACAAGTTGAAGGATGATTTCGTCGATTCTGGATACCCCATCACTGACGACAACACTTCGCTCCATCGATTATCTGCAAAGCTTGAATTCTTGCTCCAGGCTCACATGAAAGGTAATTTGAATTTATATAGACTCCGGTAGATCGATGTTGCTGTTATTTACAAATATCGTTCTATTCAATGCTTTAGTGAGAACAGGAGTTCTAGGCAAAAAACGAGATTATTGGGATTACATGCTGCGCTGTCTTGCCCGAAGACATGTGCACGATGGCATCAAATTTGTGAAGGCTTGTCCTGAGGTAAATATTAACACTACCTGTTGTTCGATTCTGGTTTACGTTAACTATACCTCTTATTGATTTTCCGCAGTACAAAACGTCGCTGGGTCGCGGAAGAGCTTTACTTCGGTTTTGTCTAGTTCACCAATGTCTCGCAGACACAATTCAACAATGTGTGACTGATGGAGAAACCACGTCAGCGTGCTACAAGTCGTGTTCCCCATTGCTCAGACAAGAATTGTCTTCCGATTTGCTGGATTCGTTATACATTCTTAATGAAGTTAAGTTTGACCTGAATCCCACGGGGCACGACCTGGACGTGGCCTGGCCCACGTTTTCGAAAACGTGTGGAGCTGGGATGCTTCATTGGCGACCGCCGAGTCGCACGATGAGTATTTCTTCGTTGGATTCATCCTTCTCATCGTATGAAAACGGTGGCGCGTTGTCGTCGTCGTTGAGTGAAGTACATGAGAGAAATGAGGAAGAATTGATGGAGTATCGAATGCAGGTATGTCTGCTTTAAAAATTAAGTAAATAAAGAAGAGGTTTGAATGTAGGACTTTCATCTTTTCATTTTCAGGTTGCAGATTTGAGAGCTACCATCGAAGACCTCAAGTCGGAAAATCGTTCGTTGAAACGAGCTGCGGAGAAGTCCACTGTGCACGCTGCTTTGCAAACGGATCAAGAACTGGTAGGTGATATAAATGCCTTAAAGTTGAAGAATGCGAATTTGAAGAAGGTCTCCCAAACTCTCCAAGAAAAGCTGTCTTCTTTTGAGCTTCTCCTTGAACGAACAGAAAAGCAAAATGCCGCTTTGCGGAAGGTGGCAGAAATGGGTCAAGAACTTGCCAAAGCCCGTGCTCAGCAACTCTCGGAACTTCGGGCATCGATTTCTCACCCGAAAAATGACTCACAGTGCCAAACCGATCTTACGGAGTGCGACATTTCTATCGGAGTCGAACAAATTGAAAAGCTTCGTCACGCTCTCGATCTCTCGAAGGAAATCGGTCGACTAAAATCAGAAGAAAACGAGGCATTGAAAGAACAGCTTCGGTGTGCTCCCTTGCTGAATACCAATGCTCAACCACGCGACGTTTGCATTGTCGAAATGGATCGTCAAGTGTGTGCTCTCAAAGAGGCTCTAAAACTCAGTAAACAATTGCTTGCCCTACGGACCGAAGAAACGGAAGCTTTGAAACGCGATCTTCAAGAAGTTGCTGACAAAGTAGCCGCCGATAAAAGTGCGTGCTCCGAAATGAACTCCGCCCTGTTACACGAGGCCAAATCACGGAAGATTGAGCAAGAGGAGGCGAAGAAGAAGATTTTTGCACTCGAAGAAGCCCTAGCGCTAACGAAGAAAGTTTTATCCGCCAAAGCTGGCAAAAATCTGGAATGCTCTTCCATTTCTACGCAAACAGGAGAAGACGGGAATGTGGAAGATCTTGCGAAGGAGAACGAAACTCTGAAGGAAGCGTTGGCCAAAAAAGAGAGACGTTTATCGTCAGTTACGTTGGAACTGAGTCGCATGTGGGTCCTGTTATTCAACCTCAAAACCCAACATACTAAACTCTTGGATGATGAGTCATACAACCGCTTTGACCTAGGCGAAAAACGGAAAGTTATTGCGAAGTTGCGCCTGGATTTGGAACGTTCTCACGTTCGCTCCTCATTCGCTCGTAGCATAAACGAAGACTGTGCTCGTCAGTTTGACGACATGAGGGTAGAATTCAAGCTTCGCAAAGCTCTGAGTGCTGAAGAACCATTGACTCCACAACCAGACGAAGCCTCAATTGATCCCGCGAAGGAAGATTTGTTCAAACCCAAGGATGACTGTGTTCTCGAGAACCGCAAAGAAGCTCGATTGCGAAAGCTTGAGGCCGCGTGTAGAGATTTGCATGCCCATCTGGCAACGAATGCCGACAAAAGTATCGCTCTGGACAACAGTCTTGCCCGGATTATCAAGATGGCATCACCGACAGGAGTCGAAAGCCCCCTTTTGTCTTCCCCGGATATCGTTGTGACCGAAGCTTCCCAATTTCAAGAGCCTGCTTTCGAGCAGGTGAAAGGATGACTCCGTGCTTGTGTCGGCGTGTGAATGGAACTCACTCACTAATGATTTCATGTCTTAGGTCTTAGAGCCGTCCTTCTTTGTTTTCCCCAGTAAAAAGCTCTGTTCCAAGCTTTCAACTAATGACCATGACACGTATTTCCCTTTTATTCTCTTTTGGTTCTGTGTAATGAACATCTTTGTATTTTTTAGGGGGAAAGAGTTCAGGAAAACTCGGAACGAATCATGGAGCAAGACAATCAAATCTTAAGTCTGCGCGCATCCATGGAAGCTCGAGATGCTGAAATGCGAACCCTTTCCGTCACGAATTCGACTTTGTGCGAAGAAATTGAGAACCTCCGAATTCAGCTGGCCTCCCAAGCCGAGGATTATTCGAGAGTCTTATTAGCGTCGGAAGAGGCACAAAACGAACTTGTTCGTTTAGCCGCGCATGTCACCGAGCAGCAAAAAATTATAGAAGAGCTGGAATCACGTTTCGGAGATTTTGAAGGGGATCGCTCTGCCGAGTTGAATCAATCCATGAAACTGAATGAATCGTTGCAAGAGGAATTGGCAGAAAAGATTGCCTTGGCACTGGATCTGGAACGGCGCGTCAAGAAGGTGAGCGTTTACTCTTTCGTCCCTAGAATGGAAAAGGTTTCTCTTGATCGTAAGGGTTTTTTCTCAATTTTTTTCTGAGAAAGGTTGAATTTAACGGGATGGCCCGAAGAAATTGTTTGCTTTCCAAACAGCTATGCAGTACAGCATTTAATGCTGAATTGAATTCCATTACTATTGAAGCGCGGTTCAGATTGATGTTAATAAGTTTCCATTTAATGAATTCGTCTGCGTTGTCAATACTGGAGTACAGTAGTAACTAAAGACATAGTAGTGTGTAAGACAGAGGTGATCGTCACATTCAAAATTCTGCTTTGATCGCATAAAATTGAACAATTTTCTTTTTAGTATTCCTCGGCTGTGTCTGGCTTGCGAGACAGCTTTCGCACTATTTCACGTGAATTGTTGGCGATTGGAGCAGCCAGAGCAACATCGGTGAAAGGTAGTCCATCGAGTGGCCCGAAGGATTTATGGTCGATGGGCGAAGAATTATCATCGAAAAACAGCGTGAATATTTCCGATGAAAACGACAACGATCTTGATGTGATTGTGGGCATTGAATCCAAAGTTCGCTGGCTTGTGAATTCGATTCAGAAGCACATAGGGGATTTCGATTCTGATAATAAGTTGTTACGGGAAGGGCTTGTCCATTTACTGAAGTAAGTTCTCCGTGTTTTGGTCTCCTCACGATCACTTCCTATTTGAATTTTTATTTTATTTTTTAGGGAGAAGGATAGGTTATGGCAACTTAATAACCGATTCGTGCAGCTGTTCCGACAGTTGATGAGGAATGATTGGGCTGATGACGATTCCGCTTCCAACTGTGAAAGTTGTGGCGCTTCCTTTTCGTTGATGCTTCGGCGACATCACTGTAGGCTGTGTGGAAAATTTTTCTGCTTTTCCTGTTCCGATTACTCGGTTTCTTTGGCCACTACGAGGTAATTTTTTCAATACTTATTTTGAAGTATATTTCATGGCGTGAACTAAATTGCTCTTGCTTGTTATTCTTCAGGGGTAGGAACCGTGTGTGTCGACATTGCTTCGCGTTGGTCCAGAAAATTCGTTTGGACGTGAATTCTTCGATTGCTCTCGAAGAATTAGAAAGCACGGTTGGTGATGATGAACCCAGTGAAGAAGTCCAAATAGAACCCCTTTTCCGTCCAGTTAATGTGGGATTTGTGGAATCCGCTGCCCCAATTGTGACGTGTGCGAGACCAAGTAATTTCAGTTTTTCTCTGTATTTGCTCTTTTTTTTCATCGCTTGAACATCTTTTGACTTCGCGCCTCGAGGTGGTTATTATTTGGAAGTAATTTGTCGATTTTATGCCCAGCTTCGATTGGAGGTACACCACCTGCTGGTGAAGAGAAGTTTACTGTGATAACAGGCGGTGAAATCGCTTCCATTCGAGCTGAAGTTGCAGAATGTCCGACGTATATATCTTGGTGAGATTCCTGGGCCGAATTCTTTGGCTTCATACGGGTCTCTGCCCATATTAAAGAGGTTCTCTAAGACGAATTTTTTTTGTCCCCAGGATTTCGTTGAGAGAGAGCCCACCTGTGTTACTGTAAACAATTGGTCCTCTTGATCTATGGTCACAGTGCATTATTAAGATTCCACGAAGAAGTTCTTGTTGAGGAAAAACATAGATTCAGTGAACGTTTATTTGACGGAGAGTTAAAAGAAAAATGCAGTTCTGACTTCCAGTGACATTCGAAACCATAAGCAAAAACAATATGACATTGTACATGCATCGTAAAGATAACGCAGTAAAATCTTCTCAACGACGAAGCCATTGGGGCAAGTAAATAGCTTCGTTACAATAAAAAAAATTCATAAATAAAAACTGAAATAACATTTTAGCTATTGGACGAAGACCAAAAAAATGAATTCGTTGTGACTGTTGATAATATTATTATGAGATTCGTTTTACCGAGATTCTACTGTTATATTTTCGCGCGGAAGCTTTTTGAACACCCCGTGTGAAATAAAATGTTCAGAGTTCTTTTTCACCAGCATAACGTGTTCTGTGTGAATTTTTTAAATATTTTTGTAGTCCGTCGAAATTGAGTGAGACGGTTATGCTGGCTGATCTTGTTCACTGCGAAGAAGAAGGCACACCGGGAAATGTCCGCAGTTTGTCAAAAGAAGGCAGTTTTGAAGATTCTGATGACTGGCGCCAAAATAATGGAAGAAGGGGCTCCGATTCGAATTTCCAACATAGCGTCGAGTTCTGGGTCACTGCCAAAACATCGTTTGGAGTACCCGTCAGCCTTCCTATTCATCCTTGCGTTCTTGCTTGGAAAGTTGATACCCAGGCTCAGGTGTGTGCAAGAAAGAGTTCTCGATCCAATACTGTAATGATTAATTTTCGTATTTATTTATTTATTTATTTATTTCTTCTTTCGGCTTTCATGCTTTCCGAGTTTGTTTTTCATGCGAAATATTGTGCGTATTCGGTTTTCAGATGGATTTGAATTTTGCCGTCACTTACCGTACGACTGGGCACGTTGGATCTACGGAATGTCTGCACCCTATTCAGCGACTGCTATCAGGGTCGTGCAGAGGACAGTTGAAGATCAAAAGGTCGGGAATATACACCTTTGTATTCGACAACACCTTTTCCTCGTGAGTGTAAACTATATTGACTTTTGCATCATCGGTTTTCTGTGCTAAAGGCTTAAAACTGACCTATTTAACTCCTTTAGGTTCAAGGCAAAGAAAGTTTCTTTGAAGCTGCGGCTGGAGAAAGATCAGTCATCACCGGGAACCCCCGCAAGCAGCACGACAGAGGATTAAATTCAAATTTAGGCTACTGTGTTATTTACTGTGTGCCATCCTAAACTCTGCTGACCCTGCAATCCAACCGCGAATCCTTTGAATTTTTTCAGAGCGTTGTGCATGTTCCCTGGATGAATATAGGAAAAATACGCATATCTGGGGTGTCCAAAAAGCTTCGTCGCGATTATACAGTAAATTTGTACTGACGTAAAAGCTTTACGTTGCATTTAATATGTTCTAGTTTTATGCTGTGCATTTCCACGATGTTGTCGATACCATTTTTCTGCTTGCTCACAAGTTTTCTGGAAAATTTATCCACTTCCTTTTTTTTGAAGCAATCGGCTAAAATTAGGAGTAACTTCTGAAACTGAGCAGCGAATGTTGTTGAGGGAATGTGTTTCATGACGATGGCAGAAATATTTCGAGGCATCTGGGAGACTTTTCCATTCTGTGAAATGAGCGAAATTTCAACGTCGAGTGTAAAAGTTACGAGGAAACTTTTTGCTACATCCTATGTATTTGCAGTGGCGCGTAGGTTCGTCTTGTGAGTGATGTTTCAATTTTTGCTGATACTTGCCGTGAGCATCCGCGAGGAGATTGTTTGTGGACATTACGCGGGCATATCACACTTTCGGAGGTCATTCGTAATTGGATGGTTTTGTATGGTTTGGGTATTGTTGGAGCGTCAAGTCTTACCGTTGGATATTTTTTGGCGTGTATTTTTCCCTTTGATATGAAAAGTTTTCGCGTAACCCGAGTGTGTTTGTAGTTTGCATAATTCCCGTAGCTGCCGTTGAGCCTGTTGTTTCGTTGAGAAATTTTGGTTTTATCGACCTGCACAGAAAAAAGGATTTGATTCCTCGCTTTGAAATGGTTTTTTTTAATTGAAATTGCGGTACAAAATGGGCGTGTCTCGCAGTACCGTTTGTGCGCCTTTTACCGAGAGACGAATTTTCGGAATTTTTTTTTGTTCATACCGCTTTAACTGTACCATTTTCAGTGCTTGGAAAATTGAAAAAACCCTACCATTCACCACACGTCACGTGTTTCTGCTCGACTGAACAAAATTTTTTTTTATTCTTGACTGATGGGCTATTTTTTTGCTTTCAGGAAATCGTTCAGTTCCAAGTTGATGGGAAACCTGTTAGTGTTCGAATTGCAGTGAGTCATTGTTTCCTTTTACGCTTTTCTAGATGGCAGTTTTGTTCGCCAATTTAAGAACTTCCGCGAAGTGGTTCACTTTTTGCCTGCTTATCGCTGTGAGCCGTGGACAATCCTCTGAAGAAAACACGGACACAATTGTGATCAATGCTACGGAAGTTTTTGTCCAAAGGCTGACGGAAATCTTCGACATCCCTCGAGGTAATATCATCTGAAGAATATCGCTGAGAGGGTGGGGGGGTTATTTTCAATTATTGTGAATTTCGAATTTTTTTATTCCCCTTGCTTCACTAAACTAAGTCTTCTAGGGACTTTTCTCTGACTAGGTCAATGTTGAGAACTAAATTTTCAAGTCCCACATCGGTGAATTTCTATTTGTGGAGCTTCCCTCTATTCTCTATTTCAGTTTCTTTTGCTTATGCGCCTGCGATTACAGTAATCAAATGAATTTCTGATCTTGAGTACTTCTGTTTTTGAGTACTACAGTATTTCTGTTGGGCTCGAATACTGTACCGAGGAATTCACTCTCGGAATTTCTTGTTCTCTTATTTCAATTTATGCAGGAGTCAACAAACATTCTTTTTATGCATCGGTCATGGGATACCCTGATCTCCACAATTGGATACATTATGCCTACGATGAAAGGAAAGGAGAAGGTTACATGTACGGAATGACACCTTTGCCAGGGCAAACGAAGGTTGGATATACATTTTATTGCATTTCTTCAATTTACTGGTCCGTTTTCATAATTCTGTGGGGCATTGTTCTTCTTCAGCTTCATCTGTCCTCTTTGGAATTGGCCACTTATAATTGTAGGGTGATGGAAGTCACGCTCATATCAGTTGCAAAGCCTGGTGCGTTGTGGTGGCGGTGTTTCTTTATGAAACCTTTTAGAAACTGTTTTACTTATTTTTTATTACCGAAAATGTAGGACACGCCCGCCGGCAAGTTGAAATCGAGCTGTACAACATGGATGTACAGGATATGTTGATCGGAAATCGAATGGAATCATTGAAGAATGTTCTGCGAAACAATTTGTGGAGATCAGCGGACGATTTGTACTACACCCTGCTCGAGCCCGCGAAAAGGCCGAATCGAATGCCCAGAGAGAAAGAAGGGTTTGTAAATTTTACTTTTATTTTTTCGTTTCGTTATCACAGTAATTTGCAAAGGAAGAGTTAGTGGATGAAATTACTTGAATAACGGATGAATAATTCTTTCGTGGCTGTTTCGAAATGGCTTCTGTCCAAAAAATTTTCGAATATATTATGTATTTATTTATTTATTCGTTTACAGGGTCAGAGTGAGACTCGGAAGTCGGGCACGTTTCTCAAACGACTTGAAGGTTCTTCAAATGGAAGTTCAACCTCTGTACGAGCGAAGACCTTGTCCAATCAATTTCAAGAAAACTACTGCGGAACGTTTTTTCAGAGGGGAAAACTTCGGTGTGGATTGGTGTGGTTTTCGCTTGGTGAGTGTTCTTTTAGATTGGGATTTTATTCAAGTTCCCGCAGGAGTATTTTGGTTGAAAATTTATTTTCTCTAAAAGTTTGTCTGCTTAGACTTATTTTAGTTTTTTCGTACTCACCGTGAGATCTCTCCCGTCCCTCCATTTGATTTAGTGTTGAAAGTATTTTTCAATCGCGGTATTGACATTAAAAGACATCTGATTCTTCTCGATTTAGATCAACGCGGAGCCCGGAAAGGCGGCGATAACGTTTTCTCCAACTACGGCGTCACATTCGGGTGATGTTTGGGAAACTTTCAAGGGCCAGCACGACAGCAGTATTGCAGTGACGCCTACACCTAGCTACATAGGACATCCCTATGTGCGAAGAGAGTGTGTTCCTCAAAGGGACTATTTGTGGGACGCACTTTTCGCAGTCGTAATTCCGTTGATTTCCATGGTTTCCTTGCTTATCCTGCTGACAATCATCATGTGCGTCAATGTCGATTCGTGGTGAGTATTTTGTGGGATGTTGTGGTATTTTTCATATTAAAGTTTTATTCGTTTATTTTGAAATTTTAGGAGTGCCTCGAGAAAGAACGAGGACTTGGAAATGAAGTACAAGGAAACGCAAGGCCTGTTGAATCCCCCGTTGATCCGCGACAGTGTGAGCCCCGTGAATGAAATGGGATCGAATTTCCCCGATGGTTTGGTTCGTTCTCGAAGCGAGTCTCCTGAAAGCACCCAACCGAAGATTATCCCATCTCCGAGGTATTCATTTCATCCAAATCGATTCATTTTTGGAGAGATTTCAATGCAATACTGATTTTGAGAGAATTTCCTCGATACACCATCAAATACATTTGTCGGATTCTTTTTCATTTAATTTCAAAATTTCCTTTCCAGACATTTCTTTCTTGAAAAATAGATCCAAAACGGAGGTTGAGAAATGAATACGAATGAAATGCTGTGTTGGGTTTTGAGTCCTTCGAGTTCAGAATGATGAGAAACTCTTCCAGTTTTTGTTTGTTTGTCTTGCTGTATCCAGTATAAAAATGATTTCTTCATGATGTTGGATGGACAATTTATAATTATAGATAACTGTATATTTTTTTAGGCTATCTGCAGAGCGTGTCATAATCGGACCAGACGGCAAAGCTCCTCCACCGTACCACTCCAAAGAAATCAAGTGAGTTGATAGCAAAGAAAAATTTGAATCTCACGGGTTGACTGAATCGTATTTTTCTTTTCGTTTCCCAGCGGGAAAGCAATTCAAGGATATCACGTGTAAACTTCGGAAAGGAATCTTCATATCCGTGCGTTTTCTCCGTGGGAACGAACTGCGTTTTTCCCCGGTGCTGTATTGAACATTGGGCGTTGATATTTCTAAGCGCAATTTCCGTGGAGCGTGGATGTTGTTTTTAAGGTTGAAAAAATCGGGAGTTGCGTCTTCGTTGTGTTCCGATTAAGTGTTTCTCTGCGGTACGTCAGTGTTCGTTCTCTTTGAAAGAATCAGTGTAGCTGTATGTGTAATCTCAATTTCTAAATGGTACATTCAGTGCTGAAAAGGGGGAATTCGTGATTTTCGTCGACGAATTGTTCATATGGGCACTAATATCGAATTGTTGGTTGTGCGTTTGCTTAGGACTTCTCAGTCATAAGTGAGGTTTCGTTTGGTAACGTCAGATCAACGAGGTTAATAACAGAATTTGATCTGTGAACCTGTTGTCACGCAAAATGCCACGCGTAGTTGTGTTCTCTTCGTAAAATCGATCTGTTACCATTTCCTGTCGCCTGCAGGAAATTAATGCTGCGAGGTTTATAAGGAAGGGATCTTTTTTTTCAGCGCGTTTTGTGTTTTGTTGTGAAACGCGACTGTCTTGAGTTTTCTGTGGAAGAAAAGTTACGAAATCTTTGTAGTTATAGCTGAGGAATTTTTTCTTTGTTTTTCATGTTGAGCGAAGACATCATCATCGAATGTCCAAGTTTTCTGTCTCCAATTTCGGAAATTGTTGCATTTTGAGAAAGTGGTTGATGTTACTAGAAATTCGCGTCGAAAAGACGAACAATTTTGTTGATTCGCGATACCTGTATGATGATTTTCTAATGCTCTCAGGACTCTAACCTCGTTGAGAATAAACGATGCGAAAACCGCGAGATAATCATGTTTGGAACCAAGACTAATGTTTACTTGGCTGTGATTCACAGGAGCGAACGTGCTTTTGGGTGATAAAACAGTTGTGCGGTTTTCATTTTATTTATTCGTGTCAAACGCGAAAAGGAATCGCGATGTGAATCGAAAGACGAGGGAGAAAAGGTACCTTGGTATTCCTGGTCACGCGCCAGTTTTTTTTTTTCCTCTTTTCATTTTGGAGACCGGAAAGAATGACGACGTTGCCGTTGCTCTTGCACGCTGCGGCGTTAGTGGTGGAGCGAGCCGTTTGCCACGCGGGAACGTTCGTGCTGTTGGTGACGTTTTTCACCGTGCAGCGGATCTGCTTGCCGCACGCGGCCAAGTTCGTCACTGGCTGCTAGCGACGAGTGAGTTCTCATTTTCTGTACTTTACTATTACTGTTCGAGGGTTGTCTTTCAAATAGATGTGATCACAAAAAAATGAATAAATCACTGCTTGGCCATTAATGTTCTCAAGTTGAGGGATTTTTGAGAGAGTTTGTCAATTTACTGCATCCGGATGAGTGAAAACTTCCTACTTACAGCCGGAGTTCTCCGCCCAATTTACAGTGGGCTAAAATTTGTCGTGCCACCTGAGAAAATTGCATCCTTTTGTTTTAACCTATATCTAAAATGTAGAAAAGATCGTGGATGAAACAATAAAATATTATCAAGTTTCGTGTGAACTCCGACTGAAATGAAAAGTTTCCAGTTATCATCGTGCAGTGAATTATAAATCTTCTAAAAATAGGCAGACAATTTTAAAACCTTGAACATCATGGGCTATGTCGTGATTTTTTTTTCACAATTACTCTTACTCTAAAATATCAGACGCCGCGTCCAACTGGGAAAAACCATCGTACATTACTGTACTGTTCTGCTTGCCTCTTGGATCCGGGATCTCGTTTTTTCACATTGTGCAAAACTGGAGAAGTTACAGGGTCACTTCTCGCATTACTGCAACTCCGATAACGTGATACAATCGAACCTCTTCAAGTCAAACTTTAAGGCACAGTCCAAGTTTTCACCAAAGAAAAAAAATTCGGAGCCATTTTTGTAAGGGGGGGGGGGGGAAGAATTACCGCAAATTGTAATTGGTGATATTCTGGGCCTTAAATTGCTTTTTAAATAATTTGATGGGATGCCGTACTTGAAAGCAAGGGTTTATTCGTCCAATTAGTCTTTCAATTCTTTTGAAAACACATCAACTTACATTTTGATTGCTTTTCTCTTTCCTATGCTAATAAAGTAATAATGCAAAAGACCATCATATTATTCGAGTTATGGGCTTATAACCGTTTGAGGGGGAAGCCTTTGAGTTGGGGGAGGTTTTAAATGCATTGTTTCAAAAGGAATTTCGGACACGGAATTGAGAAACAAAATTCTACGAAGGGAAGTTCGAGTTATTGATTTTCTACTGTATTTCTTTCAAGTTGAGATTGCCTACTTGAGCTGAGCCTCTGCCTTAACAAGGGGTTCTGTTATCATCACCTTACAGTAGCCTAATTGTTACCTTAGAAAAAGAACTTTTCAATGTTCAGCCTTCTCAGGGCAAATCCCGATGTACAGTACTGTAATTGCATTATCTTTTAAGCTAACATATGAGTTCTGTGTACTCTACTGTAATAGATTTAGGTTAGGTTATGCGTGTTGATACAATTCCTGAGCGAGATATCCTTGGTAATACAGTGCCGTGTTGAGTTTTATTTTTAGCTTATCCAGGAATCGGATCCAATCCTTAAATGAGTCCTAGCGATATATTTAGACCCAGCTATGAATACTGTATATCCGTTCCCCGGAAACATTTCCCCTCTAAAAATAGGTTTCTTCTTGACTGTTGTTATTTTGGGGGAAACAACGGCTGATACTTGATAGTTTCTGGTGCCTCTCTTCGCATGCTTTTTTTTTTCTTTTTTTATTAAGCGCGGTTTTACTGTGATACCTTGAAAGCGTTGACTTTCAAGTAGAGAATCGGTGTGAGGTCTCACTTGATGTGGCCACTTTTGCATCAATTTTGAGAGTTGGTTTGATGAAGAATTTTTTAAGAACTGGAATTGGGAAATCGTATACTGTGCTGCAGTTCTTCATCAAATCTGCGTTTTGAAGTGAGGACAAACGTCAACAGTTTCGAACTTTCGATAGAGTCTGCTGAATAAAATGCGGTGTGATCACGGAATATCAATCTAACTGCCTTTCTGATTGAATCAGTTTTAGGCAGGATAAGTGTCAGTGTCTGTAGTTTTCGAAATTTCGCAGATTTTAAAAGTCGTGTGTTTTGCAGTGATTCCTTTATGTGCTGAAATGAAAAAGTCGCACGTAGAATTGTTAACAGAATCAGGCATTCGGCTGATTCCGAATTTAAAGGGAAAACTGCGAGGAACCAATTGGCGTGGAACGCAGGTTAATGAAAAAGTTCGATGGGATCTTCGGTTTTGTGTTGAAGAAGGAAAGAGTTCCGAATCTGTTTGTTCACAAGTTTGTCGGTTTACAATGTGCGATATCGTGTTCAAATTCCCGGGCTTCCCATGGGAAAAGAAAGACTTGCGATAGTAGGAAAGTGGCACTTGCTCGAAACCAATTGAATTTGCGAAGCGATTTTTCGTGGTTCGGATAGAGTCGAGAACAGGTTTGCTGACGTCGCATCTGGGATTCGGATTTCCTTTTTTTTTTCTCAACCATAATTGTGTTCATCGAGTCGAGGCTATTCTTCAGAATATTAGATCATGGGGCGCTCAGATTTTTGAGCGAGGACCAAAAGTATTTTTGCCAATTAGTCCGTTGATGTAAAAAAAAAATTTGAAATTTTATCAGCCAGGTTTAAAAGTCTTTAGAACCCCCCAGTCGTTCCTTTGTGATCGAACTGAGTTGGTTTTTAGTATTTTCACTATGCAGACCTTAAAAGATTTGTTCCACCACCTGTTGATCCGGTGTCTTGATCTTTCAGTTTTTTGGTGGACTCCTTCGTTATTCCCTTGCTGACGAAACACGTGAGGGATAAAATGGAGCGGAAGTTTACCAAGGGATTGATCCGCCCGGGAATGGCGGCCCAACTTCGTGAGACCGTGAGCCAGGTGGTAAAAGAAACAGAAAATCAAGTGAGTATAGCAGTTTTCCTGTTTTTCTATGCTGTAGAAACCCGATCGCAGTACTGTATTTCAATCAACCCTGCTCAACTTTGATTGAAAGGTAACAATGCACCTCTCGATTATGACGTGAGCTGCTTCTTTCTCCGCGAAGTGATTGATCGTGAAAGTTTTTTTTTGGAAATATCCGTAAAAATGCTTGAGATCATTTATACATTTCTAAACTTCATCCGTTGAAAACAATTTGTTTTCAATTATTGTATTTGAACAAGTCCGAATTTTGTAATTTAAAATCTGCTGGATTTCGAGAAACGTTCCAGTTCTGCCCTTCCGTGAGATTTCGTGTTAGTTTTATTTGTCAAAAAAATTTCTATCGACACGATCATTGATTTTTTTTGTCAATTGCAGACGAAATTGGCTCGTGCCGAACCAGTAGATTATGAAGCTTTCATGAACAAGCATAAGACGCTCATCGTGAACGACGTTGATCGTGACATGTTGCTCTTCCCTCAAGACGACGTTTCGGTGAGCATATGCTTTTAAATTTGTTTTCGGAAAGTGTTGGAAATGTAGTATTGTATTGTCTTATTTCGTTTCAGCTGAAGAGTGTTCCGCGGGAGTGTCGGACGTCTGTTCCGACAGTGACCGGGGAAATGGTTTCCAATTCAAGCTCAGTGTTCGTGAAAGAGTGCCTAAAATCCTACCTTGCCGAGTGGAAAGTTGTCGATTACAAATATGCTCAGTTTTCTGGCCCCTACTTGAATTTACCAAGGTAAGGCATTTCGGAGGAACAAAAAATGGTTTCATTATAATCCATGAGTTTATTTCAGTAGCATCACGAGTACCGTAATTCAAATGTAATACAGGTGAACTCTCTTCACAACGAAATTCTATGGAACATAAAAAAATTAATTGTGGAGGGAATTCCGTTGTAGAGAACCTCTATAACATGGAGAGAGAACCTGATGGAAAAATAAATTCGTTAAACAGAGAAAATCTTCGTAGGCAAGATTGATGTAGAGAGAGTCCACCTGCATTATGGGTCACTTATTCAAAAGCAAAAATCCTTTTGTAGCGTGTCATTTTCATTCGCTGGGGAATTTCCACGTGTTCCTCTGTACTGTATATTCGAGCTTCGACAGCACGTTTTCAGACGAATCTTGATTTTTTTCTAAAATGAGGCTCGCACTTATGATTCCCTCAGTTTTCTGAGGAATAATTTTGCGCAGTTTTCGGTTTTGCGCCGCAGACATCAGAGCTCTCTGAAAATATTTGTGAGAACCGAATTTTTCGATGGCATTTTTAGGCGGAATTGTACAGTACTGTTAATTCTTTTTGAACAGGTTTCCCAGGACCCTTAACCTCCAAGAACTTGTGTACGAAATAGATCTTGACAATGAAGATGCAGAATCCGTGACGTTGGGGGTGAGTTTCAAGATTTTTCGAGTGCAGAAGATTCATTCTTGGATTGATCGTACGTTTATTGAACTACAGGGAGTCGCTTGTCCCGAAGCCGTTGCGAAAGAAGGATATTTACTAAAGGGTCCCGAAGGTGGCGGCGACTGGCTTTTCGGCAATATCGGTTCCAAGGCCCTCAAGCGTCGTTTTGCCCGTCTACGCCAAAGCGGCGACGGAACCTATCTCCTCGAGTTCACTAAAGACGATCAACCCAAAGGAACGATAGTTTTGGATTTTGCTCGTGAAGTGACCCGAGCCACGAGGCGAGGTCGCAATGCTTTCGAGATCAGAACCGGATCGGGTGCAGGAAGGAAGAACTATATTTTGGCCGCAGAGACTGAGGAAGATTTGGTGGATTGGCTGGAGAAACTGGGAAGGGTCATCACGCAAAATGCGAGGCTGGATGGCGGCATTAGAACGAGTGATCGAGGCATGTTTTTTTTTCTTTAACTTCGTGCTTTCACGCGTCCTTCGAAATCGAAAGATTTTATCGATTGAGTTTGGTGTTCAAGTTTCCGAATTCTGGTGTTCAAGTTTCCGAATTCGATCGGTTTGAACGTCGTTCTTGACCTATTACGTAAAATATTATCAGTTCAAAAGGCTTTACAGTATTCAATTTGCATTATTATTATTTCGATAACGGTGAAGAAAAATAATGTTTTCAAATCTGTCGTTTGTCCGTGTTGCAAGGTGAAGGTTTAATTTATGATCAGGGTGTCAGAGTTGTGAGCTATGATTGAGTTTCAATGGGAATTTTGTATTTTTTGAGCTGCTGACGGGTTTGGATAACCATGAGTGAGTTCAAGGTTCTTTGATTAACACAGAATGTTCTCATCGATGTTTTTTTTTTTAATTCATGGAAATCGGAATTTTAAAAAATAATTACCGGTATATGACAGTCTTCCTGTCCATGGATTTTTTGGCATTATTCCGTGATTTCCTGTACGAAAATATTAGCAGCTGAAGAAAAGACAAATCACCCAATCAATCCTCGTATTTCTTTGTAAGACTAAAGTAAACAAGAAAATCTGCCGGAGCTCATGTCCGTGGGATGGCTCATAATTGAGACTCACTTCCCGGGAAATGATGAGAGAAAATTTGTCAACGGTAAACACCGTGGTTCGATTTTCGAGCGGGTTTAAAAAAAAAATCGTTTGCTTTGATTATTCGTAATTTGAGGTTTGTGAAGAGTTTTGCAGTGTGTCCGAGTATTGAACGATGGGGTTGTTACCGCCTTTTTGCGACGTCTAGTAATCATTTACCAAACAGACAATTCAAGCATCACGCCATTGATCGCCTCGATTTTGCTGGAATACTTTCAACCTCCCTTTTTTTAACGCTGAAGAAGAAGAAGTTAAAACACATCGAAACTTAACACACTGTTGACTGCATGCAACTTTTCGAATTTTTGTGGAAAACTTTTTTTTGCCTGCCTTGTTTGAAAACTTATTCGTTTGTACCGGGCATACTTACCTATTCAGTTTGGAAGGCTGCTTAATTTTTCGGAAATTATGTTCCTTTTTATGCAGTGCCTACACCTCCATTGTGTACCTTGCCAAGTTCGGATTTGGGGATTGACTGCGATGGGCATTTTGCAACTTTGCGAGGATTGGAACAAAGCTTGAATCCCCAGTTGACAAAGTATGCTAAGGAAACGGAAGCCACAATTTCTCATCGAAGGAAGGAAAATCGACAAGGACTTTTCCACGTGTATCCTGACATGCCGGTTAGTCTATACGTGGCTGTAATTCTTCAGAGGGCTGTTCTTTCAACAACAAAAAATGTATTCACTCTATTCTTGAAGCTTTGCTGAAGCTGAGGATTTGTTTCAAATATCAATCAGCAATTGAGAATTCATCGGGATCTCAGATTTTCCGAGTTGTGATCTCTCATACCGGGTCCCCATCTTTAAAAAAAGAGGATCCTTTTGTTTCAATAGGTTCACGTTTGTTCAGAGTTCATTGGTATCGAATGCTGGATTCAATCGCTTGTAAGACGCGGTTTTTTTTTTTAATTTTATTTATTCTGACTCGTAATAAGAAAAAGGATCAGCACGATGTCACGCAGTATACGTTCGAGAAATTACAGTCGAACCTTTTTAACTCGTATTTCAAGGAAATAGAAAAGAATCGAGTTAGGGAGGTTTTCAATGCATTATTTCTGTGGGAATTCAACAAAGGGAGGTATTCGAGTTAACGAGGTTCAACTGTGTAATGTTTCACGGGGCGGGTTTTAGGTTTGTACAAATAATATACCCTTGGTATTGTCATCATTTCGGGTTTCTTCTATTCAGAGATGTCCAGTGGAAGAACCGCCGAGTCTGGAAGACCAGGCACCTCCTTGGCAAGAAGGCCATGGATATGGTTTGAAAGTTGCCTTCAAAGATATCAAGCTTTTCTTCAAACTCTGCTGTCCGTCGACGAACTCGCCTGGCACTCCCGTTGAACCCTATTATACCTCCGTTGCCTTGTTTGACGCTCGTATCGGGATTAAACTCTCGGAGGATTTCCATTTTGATGTGAATCCAAATTCCGTGAAGGAGTTGGTCGAAAACGAAGAAAGGACGCCCGGCGAAAGTGTCATTTCTGCTTTGCCGCACTTGGAAGGGCTATCAGTTGAATGGCTTTCTGCTGCTGATCAGGTAAAATGTGTTTTTTTTTTCTTCAGGTATTTCTCCATCGGGGCGTTGAATAATGTTTGTTTGTTTCATTAGCTAACGTAAGTGAGACCTTTGAATTAATATACGCCATTTTTTCGAGTCATCTGTGGAATATGACCTTCATTTAGTTAAAATTGGCGGTGAAGGCGTCCAAAAATGTTTGAAAAATCGCGTTAAGTAATATAAATAAAGTTTTGTTGCCGTTTTCACTCAGAACGAAGTTAAGGGGTGAGTGACTGACTGGGTTCAATTGCTACTGGAGCAATCTTCGTGCACTTTTTACTGACAGTGACGTCAAACTTGAATAATTTGTAAATGAAATGGACGAAATTTAAGCTGGGATAAAAAAAGAGGCTCATCGCGCAGTAACTTTTTGGATACCATGCTTTTTTCTATAATAACCGTTGATTTTTTTTTTTAGGCATTATTCTCGATCATGTCTTCATCGAAATCCGATATTTACATCGTGCTGAGGATTGAAAAGATTTTACAAGGCGGTCTAGTAAGTGTGGCGGAGCCGTATATTCGGAATCCTAGCCAGAAGAATGGAGAGAAGGTGCAAAAAGCTTTTCATGCTTACGCTCAGAGGTGAGAACCGTACAAATATTTTTGTTGTTGTTGCGGAAAATCGTTATTAATTAGAATTTTTTGTTTTGTTTCAAGGTTGGGCCAGTACAAGATGCCATTTGCTTGGGCGACGTGTCCCTTGTTCTCCCTGAATGGGAAACTGGATACATCGCAACGAACGTTGTCTTTGTATCGTGTGGATCCTTGCAAATTTTCGGACGCGGACCTTGTTCGGTTGTTACCCGATGTGAAGAGGCTGGAGAAGGAAAGCAAGTTGCCGAGGATCCCGGGATATTTCTCTTTCAGGCTCGAACGTATCCTCGGCGTTCCATCTAGTTAGTTCATCGTTTTATTTATGGGTTGTCCAAAAAGTTATACTTTACTGCGGTAAAACATGAGTTTTTAAACATTTTAATCACTCGCCTTTTGAGTTTTCCTGTGCCCATCAACTTTTTTGAAAACCATGTTACTCAGTATTGGCTTAATTTCCTTTGAAATCAACAGTTGACTTTTCTTTTATTTTTTCCACGAAGATACTCTGACGTCGTCGTTGATGCCTGTCATTCCGTTCCCGATTCCTGCGACGCATCCGATGACACTCGAAGTTCAAGAATTTCCTTCATCCCGAGTAGAACAATCGTCGCCGCATTTGTCCTTCTTCAATATGCTGTACGTGTACCCCCTGTCGCTGAAATACGATGGACAGAAAACTTTCTCGAGGGCGAGAAATATTGCGTGTTCTGTTCAACTGAAGAATTCAGATGCTGAAGATGCGCAGCCACTTTTGGTTCGTGATCATCTTATTTATTTTTAAGCGTTCTCAATTTAATTTGGGGTTTTGCATTGTGTTTTGAATTGAAGCGTTTTATTTTTTGAATTGTACCTCCCGAAATTGAGAACCTTCTGAAAATTCGAAGTTTATGGCATCTTTTGTGATGTAATACGTTTTTTCTTTTTTTCTTTCAGGCTGCAGTTGGCAGAAGTGGAGAATCCATTTTGAACTACCGAACCGTGACTTCCGTGTCACATCATAGTCCAAATCCGGATTTCTATTTGGAAGCGAAATTTTTGCTTCCGCCTGAAGTCAGCTCGAAGATGCATTTGTTGTTCACGTTCAGTCATGTTTCTTGTGAGCCTGCGAAAAAACGCGAATCGGTTGTTGAGAGCGTTGTTGGATACGCTTGGTTGATGTTGTCTGAAAACGGAAGGTGGGGTTCAATTTTTTCCCCCGAAGGTTTTTTCCTTCTCATTCGTTCTGTGTTGCTGTTCTTAGGTTGAATATCGGGGATCATCATTTGTCAGTTGCTGCTGCGCTTCCTCCGGGCTATCTCAGTGTCGAACATCTCGGATTGTGTAAAGGGGTGAGCATTTAACATTTTACAGCTTCAATTTATACTTACTGTATATGAAAAACCGGTGTTGGTGACTTCAACGTTGAACCTCGCTCTTGAATGTCCGGCAAATGTCACGTGAATCACTGAAGCGCGTAAAAATTCATCCAACCGATTTTTAACTTAAAACCAACGTGATGTAAACGTAATGTGATTTACTTAGAATAACGCGATACTGCTTAGACTTGAAAAAAAAAATTAAGATGACACCCATTTAATGGCGAGGAAAAATATGGGAACGGTGGGTTGAAGTGAGAACGAAAAATCTGACGAAATTATCTTTTTTTTTTTTTTTTTCAAGTTTGTCGGCCCGGAAATCAAGTGGGTAGACAATCAAAAACCGTTGTTTTTGCTTCGTGTGACGACTGTGAGTTCAGTTCATTGTCCGGATTCTCACATGCACGCATTTTTTGCTCAACTTCCGCTGGACGTATTGCTCGGGGAGCGATCAAAAGTTAGTTTTTGAAAATTGATCTTATTTTGGTTTGATATTTTTTCTGAAACTAATTCATTCATTATTTGTATCCCTGAAGGAGAAGGAAGGCAAGAGTTTGTCTGATGTGACCAAAGAAGTTTCCAAATTCGTTAAGGTGAGCTCTTCGGATTCACTGTATCTACCGTGTTTCTCATGAATTTGCCTTGTTTGTAAAATAATATATTATACATGCTTTTCTGAAACCTGAAATATTTTACTGTGTGACCCTTCCCTGAAAAAGAAGTCTTAGTCGTCATGAGTAATGGTGGGTCATTTTAGATTAAATTGTAAATCAGCACATGAGAGTTATAATGGACGAAATGTTCAGGTTTTTTCCCCCGATTTTAAGCTATGCATCACTTTGAAATTTATAAATCGGCCCAGAATTTCCCTGTTCACTCGGTAGAAAAATCCATCTTACTGAACCCTAAAAATGTGCCCTGGTCTATGATTCGGAAAATATATGAATACCGTACCTGTACGCTGTACGGCGACCGTTGTTTTTTTTTTTTTTTTTAAGATACAGTACTGTATACCGTAGAGGCGTAGATTATTTATATGAAATAAATACTCAATTATTTTTCTAGGCTCTTCATGCAGTGGAACCTTGTTGGTTGTTGAGATACCTGCAACCTGTGTTGTGTCGCCTGTTTTCTTTACTGATCGTTTGCCCGAACGATGAGGACATCCAACTCAGCGTTGCCAAAACTGCTGTCCACATCGTTCATCAAGCTGAAATGGCTGAGCATCAGGACACTATGCTTGCCTACACGAAGGTTTGTTTTGGAAATGGATTTCAATTAAGGTACTCGGGGTTGTCCCGAGAATTTACTGCATCGTGATGAAAGATGTCATGATTCATGTGACAAATTTCCTTCTTCGTCGATTTTCACGATTGTGTTCAAAACCGTTTTGATTTTTGTCAGTTTCCATTTGCTTCTAAATCCCCCTGTGGACTATTGAACACTGATGAGATTAGCATGAAGGAATCAATATAGTTTCTGGTGGACATTAAAAAAATAAATTGAGTCAGTTTTTTGCTTTAAGCAATCCTTTTTCTTTTACTAATTTCATTGTACTGTATTTCTGATCCCTCAAGAATACAAAATTCAGATGAACTCTCTCTCTCTCTACAGCGAATCTTGTCTACAACGATATTCTCTTGTATAGAAGATATTTTTTTGGACCCGAAGGGTGAAGTTATATGGGGTCTTCACAACGCTTCCTTTTTGTTGGTCCATTGAATTTCGATGTAAAAAGAGTCCACTTGTATTAATTTTACTGCTACGCGAAAACCTCGAGACATCCATGTGTGTAATGAATAGAATTCATATCCTGAATAATTATTTTTTCAGTACGTGTTCGATTTGGACGCTTTGGCTACTGGTGCCATGAAAGAAATGAAGGAGGGTGACGATGGAGTCACACTGCATGAACAGATGTGTCGAGCTTTAACTCTACTGCTTCGACCGGCAAATACGGACGCGTTGGTGATAAACAAGTTTTTGCGGCATACTGGGTTTTTCTTTAGGTTACTCGCCAAAACCATGGCGCAGTACCTGCTCATCACGGGTAGAATCAAGGTTCGTTCTAAATTTCAATATCGCATTTGAATTTGAAATTCAAGGATTTTATCGCCTTTTTTGTTTTTAGATGCAACGACATGAAAGATTCTCTGGCGACTTTCATTACCGACTGCAGTCCTTATTGCAAGCTTTGTCGCCGCATATCATCCAGAAACACAAGGATTTGGCTCCTGAAACGAGAGAGGCGAATTTTTGCGTAGCGCATTTCATCAAGGTAAATTCCAATTGAATTTTTGTACTGCGTAAGATTCGCGTCTCGTGAAAATGATTTTCTCACTCATCCTGGGTTTTTTCTGTAGAGATGCATGTCCTTGACGGATCGAGGATTTGCTTTCCGATTGATCGCGTTTTACATGGAGAAATTCGGTCCTGGAGATCCGCAGTTGTTGCACGAATTCAAGTTTGATTTTATCCGTGAGATCATTTCGCATGAGCACTACGTCCCGCTGAATTTGCCGGTTATTCCTGGGAAAAGAACGAAAGAAGGTGAGATAAACTCTTCTTAAAAGTAAGTACAAATTTCTAAACGTTTTTTTTTCTACTTTTTATGGGTCAAGAAATGGCTTCCAAGTTTGTGTTGACACCGGACTTCCTGTCGCAACATTATTTGTCCGGAGTTCTGTTGAAGGAATTGAAATTCGCCCTCAACGATTTCCCTGCGACCCGTCGCCTTGCCGTGAACATTTTGCGGAATATTTTGGCGAAGCACTCGTTTGATGAACGATATCGCAATGATGTGAGTTGCCGTTCAAAATATAGCGCGTCAAAATTTTCGCTTCTCAAAGCGGCGGGTGTTCAGAAGCAAAAACTGCGAGTGAAAAGCAACATAATTATCAAGTACTGTTCTTCAAACAAAATTTTGATTTAATTTGGTCATTTTCTGCGTATGCTTTGATCGGATAAGCGTTTGAGATGTTTAAATTACTCGTGCAACTGCGTGATTTTCTGACGTGAGGAACTCCGTTGCACATGTTCTGTTTCGTGTATCTTGACAAATGATTTTCATGTTCGCTAAATTCGGCACGTGCTGTTCGAGTTCGCGCGATTTTTGGACGCCCCACCCTAAATTTTGCCGTCGCATATACGAGAACTTGAAAAAATCTGTCTTTCAGTCTCAACAAGGACGAATAGCAATGCTTTATTTGCCATTGATCACGATCGTACTTGAGAATGTTTCCCGATTGGACACTGCGGATCCAGGAAACGCTGGCAAAACAGGAACCATTGTTACAGACACACATTCTCGAAGCCAGAGTCAAGCACTCAGTTTTACGGAAAGCAACTTTTCCGCTGGAACTTCAACAATTTCCTCGTGAGTTTTTTTCATCGCTTCCTTGTCACGTTTTTGATGATTGATGCAATAATTTTTGTTTGTTTGATTTTGCAGACGATCTAGTTTTGTTGAAAGCGTGGCGCTTTCTACGGAATCGTCGGTGCTCGATATGATTGCTGGTGGTGAGTTCTTGTTTAGTTTTGCTGTTCACTGGAAACTAAAGTACGGTTTTGTCTACACCGATTTTTTTTTTGTCCCATAGGATTCTCTGGAACATTGCTGCCCAACTCAGACGTGTGGGCCACAAAGACAATAATTTTGAGGTCTCTTAATTTTCCCCTTTTAAAGGAAACATTTCAAATTTAATTCAGTGCGATGCATTAAATCATAAGCATAACCCTGCATAATTTTTGAAGTGCAAAGTAGCATTTTGAATTTTTAAATTCGTCTTGCAAGATACTGTACTGTAAAATATATTTTGAATTGTGTCGACCGCCACCTTGAAAAATTATGTGAAGCGACGGTGGAATGGATGAAGTGTCTCTGTGGGTCATATTCACCCCGCGGGCCACATGTATGGCAGCACTGCTTGACAACGAATTTTTTTTATGAATTTCGTTGCAAAAAGAGAGAGATATTACCCGTTCAGAAGTATACGGATTTCAATGAAAATTTGATATTCTCCGAAGATGACGCGCACTCTACTTTCCTTCTCGTCTAAAAATTTTAGAAAGCATGCGCGCGTGGTACTCGAGTAAATTCTGTACTGCTATTTCACGAAAATATTATGGTTTTTTAATCGAAATTATCACTAAACTCTGTCATCAGGTACAACGCTTCCTGCGGGCTGCAAATTGTCCGTCACCGGAGCGATAATTCCGCCTGCCGCCAATTCCCCTTCGAATCTGCGCTTCAGAAGACATCATCGTGGCTCTGAGTGTACGCTTACGAATGGATCGATCGGTGGGGTAGAATCCGTTTTGGACGAAGAAGACGAACCGGATGGGGAAGATGACGACACGCCGACACCGACAGGTGCTTCGCCCGCTGCGACGAGATCCAGTGCTACGAGTATTTCGACGAGTACCGAAAAATCGACCCACCGTAGGTTTGTGTCGACTAGGAAAACGCGATAACGATGTCTCGCAATGTACGAGCGCGTAATGAAACAACAAACGTTTAGAGCACGTCTTGTGCAGAACTATTTTCTAGATAAAAAAAATAAATACTGCACTTACTCAAGTACTGCACGCACATCTTTTTTCTCGAAATTGAGAGGAAAAAAGGGGGTACGCGTCATGGGCGGGTCTACTTCTTTTCAAGTTTTGGAAGTTTAGGTGTGCATTGTAATCGATTCTTAGGAAAAAATTTTAGGCAGATTTTATCAGAAGAACTTATTTTCATGGAAGCAATCAGAAATTGGTCAAATTCAGATTCAGTGCATGTCTATATTCAAATTTGAATGTGTTGTTCGCAAAATATTGAAGTTCAGCGTCGCTGAAAAATTGGGTGCGCGTCTGACTCTGGATACAATCGAATAAAAATTTTAGACTGAGAAACCTGGGCGCGCCTCTTGCTCGAGGGCGCATGGTACTCCATGAAAAACGGTATATAATGAATTTTTCGGGATTAAAATAAATCTTTCAACCCATTTCAATAGTCAGGAATGGTGCTGATACATCACTTGCTTTGATTTACGCAAAAACTTTTGTTTTTATCTTGGAACACGAGCTGTCTCCGATTGGCGGGAATGTCTCCCAGTTCCTAATCAATAATCTTTTATTTTATTCTGTAGGGTAGCAAGCATGGTCACAGCGCAGAACTTCAGGAAAGACAAGTTGACAACAGGAGAGGTGAAAGAGTTGCTGCTTTGTTTCCTTTGGGTTGTGAAACACGTGCCGCAAGAATTTCTATTGGCCTGGTGGAAGCACGCTGCCAATGACGATATCTGGGCATTCTTCCGAGTAATTGAGTGAGTACATTGTGGATTTAAATAATCCAATTAGATTTTTGCTGATTTTAATAAACTTACGATTTTTAGTACCGTATTTACTCGCGGTATACATTTTTTGCCGTAAAAAATTAGGAAATAAGTGGTGGAAACCGTGAGTGATTACTTTGTAGATGTAAATGATGTACAGGGAATTTTGTTAGGCTCAAATTTATTTAAAATTATGCAACTTCCTATTTTTCTTTATGGAATTATTTTGTTTAATATTATAATTTTAAATAAGAATTCGATTTTCAACCATGCAAAACTGGGCTTCATGTCTTAGGCGGGGATACTATATTGGGCAAATTTCATGCCAAAAAACTGCGGAACGTGTCATTCTCGAAGGTGCGATGTTAATATTGGGACAAGAAATTCAAAATTTTGATGGAAAAATTTGAAAATTTCATGAAAATTTTCGAAAATTTCGTTGAAAAATTCGTTATAACCAGAGATTCTGTGAAAAAAAATTCGTTAAAACGAGATTTTTATAACACTGTACATAAGGCAAACTGCCGGGACCAAAGAAAAAATTCGTTATACTGAAAAATTCGTTATAACGAGATTCGTTGTAACGGAATTCTACTGTATATACTGCACGCACATCTTTTTCTCGAAATTGAAAGGAAAAAAGGGGGTACGGGTACGCATCATGGGTGGGTCTACTTCTTTTCAAGTTTTGGAAGTTTATGTGTGTATTGTAATCGATTCTAATGGGAAATTTTAGACAAATTTTATCAGAAGAAATTATTTTTATGGAAGCAATCAGAAATTGGTCAAATTTAGATTCAGTTCATGTGTAAATTCAAATTTAGATGTGTTGTTCGCAAAGTATTGAAGTTCAACGTCACTGAAAAATTGGGTGCGCGTCTGACTCCGGATACAATCGAATAAAAATTTTAGACTGAGAAACCTGGGCGCGCCTCTTGCTCGAGGGCGCATGGTACTCCAGGAAAAACGGTATATAATGAATTGTTCGGGATTAAAATAAATCTTTCAACCCATTTCAATAGTCAGGAATGGTGCTGATACATCACTTGCTTTGATTTACGCAACAACTTTTGTTTTTATCTTGGAACACGAGCTGTCTCCGATTGGCGGGAATGTCTCCCAGTTCATAATCAATTATCTTTTATTTTATTCTGTAGGGTACCAAGCATGGTCACAGCGCAGAACTTCAGGAAAGACAAGTTGACAACAGGAGAGGTGAAAGAGTTGCTGCTTTGTTTCCTTTGGGTTGTGAAACACGTGCCGCAAGAATTTCTACTGGCCTGGTGGAAGCACGCTGCCAATGACGATATCTGGGCATTCTTCCGAGTAATTGAGTGAGTACATTGTGGATTTAAATAATCCAATTAGATTTTTGTTGATTTTAATACACTTACGATTTTTAGTACCGTATTTACTCGCGGTATACATTTTTTGCCGTAAAAAATTAGGAAATAAGTGGTGGAAACCGTGAGTGATTACTTTGTAGATGTAAATGATGTACAGGGAATTTCGTTAGGCTCAAATTTATTCAAAATTATGCAACTTCCTATTTTTCTTTATGGAATTATTTTGTTTAAAATTATAATTTTAAATAAGAATTCGATTTTCAACCATGCAAAACTGGGCTTCATGTCTTAGGCGGGGATACTATATTGGGCAAATTTCATGCCAAAAAACTGCGGAACGTGTCATTCTCGAAGGTGCGCGCTACTCGAGTGAATACGGTAATTTGTCACTCTCTCGCTTCAAGCCCTCAGCAATCGTAGGGTTTTCACGTTTTTTTTGTTTTCTTTGCTTCAGGTTAGCGCTGATGGAGTTTAGATACCGGGGCAGAAGTTCAGCGCAAAAGTATCCGAATCATTCACCCGGACGAGGACACACGTATCAGTCTTCCGGAAGTGCCAGTCTCCAGTCGAAATTTGCCTCTTGGCGAAGCGGAAGCGACATTGGCGACGGGGACACGTTGAGATCCGAACACGGAACTGCTGCTAGCACACCTCGCAACAGCGTGGGTGGACACGGATATCCGGCGTTGGTACCTGAGCAAGAAGCGCCATTGGGTCCAGCGGACCATTGTGTGATGGAGGGGCATCTGGCGGCAGAATTGGGCATGATTGCGTTGGATTGTCTCGGGCTGTACTCCTCCCACTTCTCCAACAGGCTCTTGGCGGATTGTGGCACTGGTGTGGGAAGGAACCAGTTGATGCGCAAGTGCTTCGACATCTACTTGTACTTTCTGCAAGTGAGTGCAGTTTGGAACACCCTCGAATTTTGTTCGATTAAATCATTTTGGTTGAGATCGCTATTTAAATTGTGACGTGACGACAATTCAAAATGTTGGTTTTTATTTCTTGAATGAGGTCTTTATAAAAATTAATTTTAGCGCGGAATGAATTCGATATTGATTTGTTTTCGCGTTTCTCCAAAAATAAGAGTCCCGTCATGGATTAAGCTTGAATACATTTTTCTGACGCTTTTTTGAACTTACTACGAAAGGAGGCCTTGCTCGAAAATAAGTCAAGATTTTCGTGACAAGATTTTTCAGGCTATTGAAAAAGTCCGCTCTTTTTTGCATAATTTTACCATTGATGAGCAGTTTTTTTCAGTTTTCAAGATCCGTCGAGAAACTGACGTCTTGAAACTTGTTCCGAAATTATGATTTCATTTATTTCAAGTTGGATTACGAAGCGTTCAATTTTTATTTAACCATTTTCGTTAAATGCTCTCATCAGGTCAGCCACGCCGAATCAGTAATGGAGCATGCGTTTGCTGCTTGGAGGGCATTTTTGAACGCGTATTCATCTCAAGTGCTTTTTGGAGGAGACGGCGAATTATGCGGATTATTGTGTTACGAATTACTGAAGGCGTGTAACAGCAAGCTAGCATCGACAAGATCCGATGCCGCTGCTGTTCTTTATCTCTTGATGCGCTCCAATTTCGAGCTCTCTCAGAGGAAGTCCATGACCCGTGTTCATCTGCAGGTAATTATTTTATGGCTTCGCGGATGGGAAAGGTTTCCATTTTTTACTTCAGAACATTTTTATGAGTGGTCCATGTTGGAAAACTGCGCCGTGTCCGCGAAGTTAATTGATTATCAATTATTAACTTTTTCCCTGCAACGAAACAAAAACGGGGAAAAGTCGAGTTTCCCCTCCCCAAATTGTATGCTTCCCTATCGCCACGACATCTTTGATTAGCAATTTTAGGTTAATCCCAGGCATCCAGAAAAAAAAAATTGTTTCCTGCAGTGAAATCAAGGCCACAGGAGTAAATTTACCTTATTTACTGGTGCAGCAAAGGCACAATTTTTCAAAGTGTGAGTTGTGCGAGTCTCAAGCTGGTAAACAATTTTTCAAAATTTCCAAAATTTGTGCGCTCGTAATACTTGATCCTACTATAAAATGTTCAATAAATTTCAACAGGCTTATTTTCAAAGGAAAAGACGGAAAATTAATTCAATTTAGGTTTAATTTAAGTTAAAATGTTAATTTTATGCATTTTATTTTCAAAACTTAGCCTTTTTTTTAGTAACTTATTCGTTCAAAGCTCATCATCAGTTAGATCTAGACCTTTTCGGAGATTAACTGTCAAAAAAGTTTGCTGTATTTTCTTGCCTTTGTGTGCTTCGATCAATGTGTTTGAACAGATTGAGATACAATTGTACTCTTCGAAATTTCGAAATCCTGAAAATGGATTTCCGGCCTTGTCCAAGGCAGAGTGAAATGTTTCTATTTTCCATATACAGGAACAGTGCAAGTACAGTATATTTTCTTCGTGAAAGATCACAGCAATTAATTAAAATTCACGTTTTGAATGTTTTTTTGTTTTATTTCTTCAGACGATAATAGGAGTCTCCCGGTTGCTCAGCGAGGTCGTGTCGTTGAACAGTCCTCGATTCCAAGAATCCCTGTCGCGACTCAACTCATTGGCCGCCGCCGACTCTGCCATGCGAAACACAGGCCTGCGATCCGCAGTTTGCGAAGTCACGCGTCGTGTCCGAGCCGTGCTCATGGCCACCTCGCAACTGCGGGAAGCTGCGGCGGATCCGGAAACGATGGCGGACTTGCAGCTCCGTTTGGCCGCCTCCTACGCCGCCACGCCCCAATTGAGACAAACTTGGTTGGAGAGCTTGGCCAAGGTGCAGGCCCGGGCTGGACACGCATCGGAGGTGGCCATGTGTCACGTGCACGTGGCGGCGTTGATGGCGGAAGTGTTGAGGCATACGGAGGCTGGGTTTAGGATTGGAGCTGCGGATTTTGCGTCGGTGTCGCCGAATGTACCGTTGGAGGAGGCGTTGTCGCTGAAGGAGACGACTGCAGGTTGGCCATTGCCATTGCTGTGATATTTTTTTTTAATGTTTTCTGGAATTCGGTGGTCTGTTTTTATGAGTGCTGACATCATGCCTTGCTGTGATGTCTTGCCCCAAGGCAAACGCAAGAGAACAATTAGCCTATGGGACATCTGAAACTAAATAAAATCTGCCCCAACATCCGGATAATGTCTCGACATATGGACACTTCAACAACGTTTTCAGACGAAATATTTTTTGAAAAATAACATTTATCTGGGAATTGATCCTTTCATTTTCACAAATTTAAAAATACATGTTATTATATATTCATTATGATTATTGATTCAGAACAAGCTAATTTTGGGGTTATTTTTTCTGAGTTCTTTCCATCATTTGTGCATAGCATAGGAAGACTTGTGTTTTTGTTTTTTACTTTTTGGGCTCCTTTTCATCCCAACAGATCCGATTATGTGTAGTTCATTCTGCATAGTTGCTCTCTGTATCTTGAAGTTAAGAAAATTATTTTATTCAATTTTTGAGCGACTTTTTCATAGTCTGATCAACAAGAAAACCAATTAAATATATTCCCATTGAAGTGTAATGGAAAATGACAGGTGGACGTTTCAGCATACTGACAAGTTCCAAGCACCAACTATGTCCCTGTATTGACTACTGTGTGAATGCCATGAGAAAATCGTGAAGAATTTGCGTCTGCTTTAATTGGATACTTTTTTTACGGCGTCTTCCTTTATATCGATGAGAAAACTTTTTTATTTTTGCAGAGATGCAGGAAATACCGTATACAGAAGACACGGTTGTGGAAGAGTTGATCAAAGCTGCCGAGTGGTTTGAGAAGTCGGAACGTTGGGAATGTTTGCTGGAAGTTTACAGACTCGTGACACCGTTTTACGAAGCGAAGCGGGACTTTGCCGCCCTTTCCGAATGTTTTTCCAGACTCCAATTTGCCTGCAAAAAGGTTTCCGACTCCAATTATGCCAAAAGAAGATTACTCGGCACTTACTTCCGGGTGGCGTTTTATGGAGAGGTTTGTTAATTTTTTTTTTTTATTGGTGATTCAGTTCGTTGATAAATGGCTGTTTTGATTGATTCTTGCCAGGGTTTTTTCGACGCAATGAGTGGGAGATCATTCCTGTACAAGGAACCCAAAGTGACGTCGTTGGCAGAGTTTTCCGAGAGAATCATGGATATTTTCACCGAGAAATTTGGCAAAGGCGTCGTTAGAATTATCCAAGATTCTTCACCTGTAAGACTTTGGATTTGTCTTCGATTTTTCAAAATATAATTTCTTTCATAAATTCCGTTCTGTTGCAGGTGAATTTAGATGAACTTGATCCGCAAATGGCGCACATTCAAATTACTCACGTCACTCCGTTCTTTGACGAACATGAGTCTGTGACGAGAGTTTCCGAGTTTGAGAGAAACCACAATATTTCTCGGTAAATGCATAGTTTATGTATATGCGGTGAAATCTCGTTACGACGAATAATTCATTACAATGAAGTCATTTTTTAGTTCGCTGCTTAGCCAAGCCACAATGTTAAAAAAGTTTTTTATTGACGAATCTTTCGTTATATCAAAGCTATTTTGCCGGCCCAATGGCATCGTTGTGACGTATTTTTACTGTATATAATTTTTTGTCAACTGTTTGTATCAATAGTATTAATACGAGTTATTTTTTTTAGATTCGTGTTTGAAACGCCTTTCACGGTAGATGGAAACCGCGCCCACGGAAAAATTGAGGATCAGTGGAAGAGGAAAACTATTTTGACGAGTATTGCATACATTTGATCTTTTTTTATGGGCAAAAAATATTTGAATGTCGATTTTTTTGTCTATTCATAGCTTCACATTGGTTCCCGTACATGTCGAAAAGAGTTGACGTGGTTACTCAGCAAGTTGAAGAACTGAGTCCAATAGAAGTTGCAGCGGAAGAAATGTCAGCGCGTGTTGCTGGCTTGAAACTTGTGGTACATGCTCACCCACCGGATATCAAACGTTTGCAATTGCTTCTTCAAGTGAGTGTACTTCTGTGTGTGTGTGTGTATTTTTATTTTTTTTTTAGTCGTGGAAAGATTTGTTCATTTACTTTCTTGGGCTCTACTTATTTTTTTCCTACTGTTTGCAGGGAAGCATAAGTGTCCAAGTGAATGCTGGACCCTTAGCTTACGCTCAAAGTTTTTTAACTCCGGAAGCTGAGGATTGTTATCCGAGTACACAAGTGGCAATCTTGAAGGATATCTTCAGGTCAGTCATGTTCTTGAAACTTCGTTACATGTATGTCAAGACTTGTGTTGGAAAAAATGTAATTGTAGGTCATTAATACTGTACTGTGTAAGTATTGTATGCTCTGTATTTTTGTTTGACACTTTATTTCTCCAGTGTTCACAGGTACATTTCTAGAAATTGTAAGCTCAATTGAGAGAAGTTGTGGGGTTATCTGATTGTTCACAAAGGAACTGTAAATCATACCATTTTGATGATCCGTCATTCTTTCGTTGTTCCTATTAATTTTTTGGCAGTCAGTGTATGGGTGACCTTTTCCTTCGGCTAAATCTGTTCTAAAAGAGAATCCATTGAACGATTTATGTACCGTAAGTCTGAATAATTGGGTCCAGACGCCGTCTTGAAAAGGCCCTCCATTGGAGCTGTATCCTAGACATTCATTCGGGATCCTTGATGGATGCACGTGTTCATCACGTAATGATTCTATTATTTTTGGTGCCACTATATTATATATTTTAAATTAAAAAATCGGAGTCTCGCGTGAAAGTAGGGTTCAAAGATTACGACTAACGCGAGTCTCTTTTGACTTTTGTGACAGGCAATTCATCGCAATTTGCGGAGTGGCATTGGACCTGAACGAATCTCTAATTCAGTCGGTACAAAGGGACTATCAGGCCGCCTTAAGACAGAGCTACGGGAGACTACGAACATCACTCGCAGATCTGATTGGTAGTGGAAGTGCTAGTTTGAGCACTGCGGGACTGGAATCTCCGTTGCTAGGGAATTCCCTGGCTCGGGTAAACACTAGGTCTTCGATCCATTCAAACACGTCGTCCAGAACCTCGTCAACCCTATTCAGCGTGATAAGCGGCACGTCCGGATCTAGTGATGCCTGAAATTTTGTTGTTGAGGATGCGAGATGAAGTTGAGTGATTTTTTTTTTCTTCATATATTTTCAATAAGATTCCTCTCGATTTTCGCTTGTTAGAAGTGCTTCATGTTCAGCTAACTTCGCGGCGCCTGTGAAAAGTATGCGAATTACTTTCAAAACCCCCTTTTTTTTGCTTTTTGACCAAAAGCAATATTTATTGCGTGATATGATCAGAAATCCGGGAACCTGTTTTTAAATTCCTCTCCTCCATGCTATTTTTTTGGATTTTATCCCGATTCTATTCCCTTTCGATCCCACATTCTTGGTGTTTTTCTTGTGATGTCCGTGACTAGATCATATTTTGTGATATGTTTTCGTACAGTGTTTGGCAGGAATTTTACGAGCAGAAATGACAACCTTAGTATCCGGTTTTTTTGTATTTTTGAAACGCGGATGATCCGATTTTTTTTTTTGTTTCAGCCAAAGAAAATTTGTTCGATTACCAGTCAAGAGTAGTTGACGAATATTTCATGGGGGTTTTGTAAGCGGAACACTTCTGTGCCAGAGATTTCTTTTTTTTTCATTGATTTTTCTGAGAGCGTGGTTGAAATGAATTATTTGTCTAGTCCCGTTATTGAACGGTCTTCTGAAATGATTGTATCGATCTGTTAGAAGTGCCAATGCATGCTTACTAATCGCCAAACAAGTTCATTTTGCGTTTCATTTATAAGACTGAAGTCCTCCAGAATAGTCGGCTTCTTTTGACAAGCATTGACAGCAGTATTTTCGCTGTCCCATAAAACTACAATTGCCAAATTTTAACAGGTAATACAGCGTAGGCCGACTATCGGACCAACTTTTCTTACCACCCCCAAAAATTCAGCGTGCGCCACACTTCCGCTGAGGCTTCATGTTATCTTGCATCCACTTGTACATTATAACAAATGCTTGCCTGAACCAAATTATTCCGTTGGCTACCATATAAATTAAATTTCTTTGAAACGATTTTTCATTGAAAAAGCTTCTTCCAGCGGGTCCTCAGATCAATGGCTTTTAAATTGCACAATTTTACTTTTACTCTATTAATCCTGTCTCTCTGACAACATTAAGGGTGCGACTCATTAGCAGCAATAATCTCCCTCTTAAGTCGGATTGATAGGTGGCAATATCGAATGAAGCAGAAAAGAAAAATACTGCATGGACCAACTAAATTACTGGACTCCTGATGAGAAACATGATACGATCGAGACTTACGACCTCGGGCCAAGTCGAGGGCGGGATACATTTCTATCCCCTCCATCTTTGCCTCAAAAGCAGTGCATTGACCCTGAAGAAATTCCACCGAGTAACGCGATGGTCAGCATTTTCGAGGCGGCCAGTTTCGCGTGGTTCACGGTTGGAAGACTACAGCTAGCTGGGGTTTGAATTTGCATTCCGTGCACATATACTGTATACTGTAATAGTGTAGTGCTTCATCATATTCCATTTCATGCATACCGGCCGCGACCTCTCGTATTTTTAAAGTAGATATGATTTAAAAATAATTATCATGACATATAGCCCATGATTTTCCAAGGTTCTGGGATTTTTTGTTTCGGATTTTTAAAGAAGTTTTTTTTTTCCAATTTACCGCTTTGTGATGCGTGAAAATTTTCTCGGTACAGCCGGAGTTCTCCACCCATTGTCACAGGGGTCTAAAAATTGTCAGGCGAGCTAAAGGATTAAATTTTTTTTCTTAACTATCATCGAAATTGTAGAAAATCAGATACTGGCTAAACAACCAAAAAATTCAGTTTTTTTTAGCTCGCCTGACAATTTTTTTAGCCCCCTGTGAGATGGGTGGAAAACTCTGACTGTAACTAGAAATTTGGCACTCATCATCGTGCAGTGCATTGAAAAACTTCTATAAAAATCCATAAAATCCCATAACCTTAGAACATCATAGGCTAAGTCATGATTTTTTTTTACCATCACGACCACTCTAGTAGTATCAGAGGTCGCGTCCAGCTGGGACAACCCTCGTATTTACATATACAATACAGTAATGAAAGATACCTTTTTCAAGTATAATGAAGATGCTTCGTCTTCCGCAACAGCAGTGCGTTCATCGGTCGTTGCGTCGCTGGTAGAGGTTACGAAACCATCTCAGAAGCAACAACGGTTCTTCATAAAAGTTTCTGCAATAAGTTCCAGAGGCAAAATCATTTCACGCGCAGTGATTCGCTTCAATTGATTCAATAAAAGCATCAAAAATAACGCAGTGCTCTCAACTATACGCACAGTTGGACTTCATCCAGTCAAAACCATCTCGATGTACACTTTTTTTGTTTAGTTCCTGTCTTAATTGCCCAACTCCATACTTTCCCCCTCAAACGTACCTGTACTGTACAGTATATAACTCGAATGTTGAGGGGCCTTTGCTATCATGCTTGGGACCCAGGAAGAACATCACCAATAGAAATGTAACTTGATGATTTTTAAAAGGAAGTGAGTGATATATCGGGCAAATTAACCCTCAATCAACCAGTCAGTTCATTTATTCAGGAGATTTAGGCCCAGAATATCACCAATTTTACCTTCCTGTGATTATTTACCTTTCCCCCAGGAAATTACTGCTTCCCCAGCATTTCCACACTCAAAAACTCCCTCAGTTTAGTTTCTGTGGCTTCTTCTGAGTTAAGACTTCAAGATTTTGGACTGTAAAAAAATGCAGAAAAGATCGAGGTTTTCCTTCTACAAAACTTCAAAATCCAAGAAAATGCCTTAAAAACAAAAACAAAATCGAAGAAAAATGTGGCAAGCATCACATTTAATACACTAGAAACGGAACTTTCGGGATTGTTCTTTCCACTATCTCAGTCAAGAGTGTGTCGCAAGATATCGTTGAACCTTCGGCTGGCTGGCTTCGTGTTTCTAACCGGCGAATCAGTTCAGCCGGCAGGAAATCGCCGAGATTTTTATTCCGTTTCAACAAAAGCTTTTTTTTTAAGGATTCCAATCGTTTCATTTTGTTCATGCTGCTTGATTGGGTGCAAAATTAATTTTTAAAAATCACGCATTCGTGTAAGAAGAATCAAGTGCGGTGTGATCGTTTCTGCGAATGAGTACAAATCACGAACAGTGGACATACTGTGTATGGCTGAAGCGCATGACCTGTCACAATGAAGTGCAGACAGTTTGAATGAGTTTGAAACGATTACTCAGCATTATGGTAGGCCTCATGTTAAACAATACTGTACATATTTTCTATCGTCTTAAAAATCGTGAATGAAAAGTTCTTCATATTTCGATAACCAGCAATGAACCGAATCATTGGACAGGAATATTCACGACCGTAAAATTTCAGAAATTCCCATCATTTACCTAAGATGTCCACAAGCGTTATGATACAATTCACCAATTGATCAATAAATGAAGGAGCCATTATTTTGATTTTTTTTTACCTGAACTATCCTCGCCCTCGCAATTTCCTCGATTGTCAATGATCACCTTGATCCGATCAGTAAACTCAAGCTACAGTACTTCTAAAATCCCCCCAAAATGTTTCTGCATCATGAAAGAGACCAGGATTATTTTTTACTTTCAAAAAATTCAACAACACAGACAATCTTTTTGACCTTTTAAACATAATTAGTAGCATTACAACACTACCATGAATTATTTGTGTTGGAGGATGTGCTTCTCTAGAAATTTTACCGCAGTCTAGGACAAAATTTATACTCAATTAAAAATTTTTAATGGGCAAAGTCAAATTCATTTCTATCTCACGAAGTTTTTCTTCAACTCCAGTTCATCAAAACTTAGCATGGGGGGATTTTAGGAAGCATTAATTCTAAAAAAAAAAACTTGCGCTTTGTTCCCAGCTTTACATAAGTTTCGACCTCATCAAAGCCATACTTCTATGACTTATACAGAAAAACTCAGCATGTTTCTGGCCTTGGGCAAACATTTTAATTACAGTACTTCTCTTGAGTTTTTGGGGAAGAAACAATTTTTGAAAATCCCGATTCTACAGCAATCAGAGAGCTCGACTTTTTTTTGCGGTGCCGGTGGTTAATTCGCACCCACGCATCAGCATCAACATTTTTACCATTTCAATTATTCTTTCTTCGAAAATCGGTTGAAAAGTGACAAGCCAGAGATCAAATAAAACAAAGGTGAACATGGTGTTTTCGCGCCTTTGTTCCGTGATGTATCCCGTCATCACCCTCGTCACCATCATCGCGCTGCTTTCTGCGAAGACATCTGCCAAAATTCACACCCCGGCCTCGACCATACTCGACGCGAAATCTCCGATTTGTTACAAAATATTCATCGTCTCACCGATTTGCGCCAAAAGCCACAATCACGTTTACAGCGTGCTGGCTGAAGCCCTGGCAGCGAGATGCCATCAAGTCACTATGCTGATCTCGTATCCCGTCAAGTCCAGCGTTGCCAACGTACGGCAATTGTCTTCGCAGACGTATCGCGATCTCAGCGAGGAAACTTTCTCCTACAAAGTGGGAAAGAGTCAGGGTTACAGCGTCCTGAATACTGCTGGGTTCGCGTGGGAAAAGGTGAGTTTTCATCACAGAAACAAATCTTTACATATCTTTTATACGAAAAATGAAAATTATTTTCCGAATGCCGTATTATATGGCGTCATTCGAAAAAAAATTTCAAATGTAACACAGTTCTTTCGTAATATTGAACACTTGATAAACTTGGGCTTTTTCCTTATACGCAATAGCATCATCATCAGGGAATAAAATTTCTCGACAAGGCGTATAATGTCAATTAAACCTTGCTAATTTAAATCGCCCTCAGGCAAAAGCTTCCTTACTTCTAATACTTTTTAGTCCCTGTCTGAATTCCATTGCAGACCTTTCCAAACAAAACAAATAACTCTCCCCTCAAATCTCTGCAACTCAAATTTCTGGAAGCTTTTGGGCTAATATTCTGATAACTCAGGATGGAGAAGAGCAACGAAAAGGTAAATATATCTTTCCAGATGAAAAGTGATCAAATAATTTTGAAATGTACTCTCGCCTTCAAGTTCAGCATCCTGCCAACTGTTCCATCCAGCAGTTCAAGGCCCAAAATATCTTTGATATTACCTTCCTTAATTTTTGCATCCCCCCCCCCCCAAATTCTGCTTTTTAAAAGTCAAAAACTTCCAAGCCAACTTTGCTATTGGTCCCTCCAAATTTGATCAAGATTTTGACTGTATAGTATATTGTATTTTTAAGAAGGCAGTCAAATTTGTTCTGCACTCAAACCTCTCTTAAGCCAAATTCCAAAGGACCAAAAAAATTTAATCAAGGAGTTTTTGAGTCAGGCAAGCCAGCATTTTTTATGAAAAAATAAATTACAATATTTATAGGAGGGTAAAATGTTTGACCTTTAGGGACTCAAGCTTCTAGATAAATGAGATACACGTGGACTCCGTCTACAACAATCTTGTATTCAAAGATTATCTCAACATAAAAAAATGTTTGGTCCCATGAATGTTCACTCCCCATGAAAAAGAGGTCCTTTATAAATATTATTATGAAATTCTCTCCACAAAGAATTCTTTCTGGTCCCTTGAATATTTTTTTAGAGAAAATATCTTACCTGTAGTCATATTTTTCATCGCTCTTCCATTTCTCTTTCCCTAAAAATACGGTAGTAGGCCAAAGGCATAACCAAACTTCAGTTATGGAGGTTTGTGAGATGAAGCCTTCA